ATATATAATATCATCTGTAAGCACACGATATATATCGATAAGAGAATTTACCAATGCTAGAGTTAGACACAAATTAACCAGTGCTGTCTTTCAATTAAATATAACTTGCATGCATGGGTAGTGAAAGGTTTCTACCCATGAATGTTAGTATAGACTCTTCATATTAATTAAAAATTATATAAACACATTAACTGGGGATGTGAAGTGAAATGAGCATTATTATGACTAGAGGACTAGAGAGATATATATTCCTATGAATAAACATACATATAAGTACATTAAATATCATACCAGGCAGTGTATCACGCAGTCGGTGTCGTCCGACTGCTCGTTTACTTACCTTGAGTTTATTTCATCTCGGAGATTCGGGTAAAACAATTTTATGAAAATTCAATGGCTGCCTAGAGGCACAATTGAGATGTAGATTGAATCGAGTGCAGGGTATGCTCTAATTTCTAAGGTCTTGCTTTATTTATAATTTGTATCATTGTATTTGATTATAAGTATATTTTAATTGATATATGTATTTTTTCGCACATGAATTTATTATGTATAAATAAACCAAAATGTTTTAACATGCATATATGTATATTTCTCCCAAATATTTCACAGTCGTCATTAGGCAAATGGCTTGCGTATATGAACAGCTAATGCGCAAGTGAGACTAAATTTATATATTTTAAATTGGGGTCCCTCGACGCCTCTCACTTTTTATTGTTGACATATTTTGTTGGGGCCTTTGGATCGGGCCTGGTCGTAAAATAGAAATTAATGCGCGAATTATAGCCGACGGAATATGGCATTGGATTTATTTTGGCTTTCTGCTGCGGGAAATGTGGTCGAGTTTAAACAAGTTAGTCTGATATAATATGAGATCGAAACAAGCATAAATTACAGAAGCGTGCACGGAGATGAGAACAAAGCGCTTATGATTTAGTATGGACCAAATCAACGCTATTTAAATGTTTAATGAGCAGTCAGATGTGTCAACAGGCTAAATGAAAATTTATTTAATTAGAAGTCGGACAGGCCGACACAAATACACGCAGAGGCATGACAAGTGGGCTCTCATAACTTTTGAGCCAGCGACGATGTATGTATATTTTAACTATTTGGTCAGCTATGCGAAATGAACAAAGGGAACATGTCGACAAATGTCTAAAAAGGCAATCAAAAGTTGCCCAAGAATTTGGGAAGACAACAAAAGTTTTGATTTATGAAATATGCGCTAAAAATACAAATAGCATTTGATGACATTTGCTCCGGCGGCCATATCGTAAACAAATTCCCAAACAAGTCCAATAAAGGCCGTAAGGGGCTTTGATTTATCATGGCTCAATGCTGCGACATTAAAGTGCCCGCAAATGTTTTTTGGCCGCCCATGCGAATGTCAGAGAGGCCATCATAAATAAGCCAAATAAAACTTTCGGCAAGCCCCCGATCAGCAAAAAGGATTGGCAAGCCTTCCAACTGAGGCCCACAACTTTCTGGCAATGCAAATTACCAAGAAATCTTGCGCCCCACCCGAGGACATCAGGATACCTATCAGCTCCACACATGTTAGCATGTGTTGTCCACAAACATGCCATTTGAGCCACAAAACTTGCCGTTGCTGCCTCATTTATTTTATGGCAGCGTCGCTTTAAGTTATTTTTCTTCATTATATTTTATATGCAGCTGGATCATAGTCCGACAACAGCCGACGGCATTTGGCAATCAACGCAAATGTTGCGTTTATTTGCCCAAACAATTTTCTCTCTATTCTGTGGCTGTACTCTGTATTTCTGTATTTGTGTGTATATCAAGGATCTGTATGCGTGCGGAAAATGTCAAATGGTCGCCTAAGCTGGCTATCACACATACGACCCGTTGTGCGTCCAGTCGCTCTTCGCTCGTCGTCCGCTCATTTGCAGTTCGTCAGTTCATTTCTGGGGTCTTAGCGCACAGTTCATTAGCGCCGCCCAAAGTTGGCTTATTAATCCTTAAATCCTCAGCGGAGCTGGCGCCAAGACAAACCCCAGGCCCTGACCGCCACTCGCCATTTGGCTGTCGACAGTTGTCATTAGGCTCTGGCATAAACAGCAAATTAAGTTTTACTGCTTCATATATATTTGGCACTCCAGCTGACTCTTAGTTTCTGCTGTGGGCCGTGCACTCCGCGGGCCCACGCTGAGGCGCTGCGTTGTGCCACGGGCCGTGTAATTTCAGCCGTTCCTATTGATATTTGATTGTTCGTAATGAGCTGTGTACACAGCCCGCCACTGAGCAAATGAATAAAACATTCATGCGGGGGCGACTCGAATCTCGATTCACTGGCTACAATAGGTATATATTCTCATGACGTCGACCTGCCCACTCCAAAAGTATTAAAAATAATAATACAAAATGCAGAGGGAACACAAATATTGTGAATAGTAAGGGGTCAATTCCAATTATGGCAGTTAATTATGACGCATTAATTAAAAAGTCTATTCTGTGGCAGTGTGTGAGTTTTAATGTCGAATTGCCTGAACTTGGCGAAAAAGCTTTTTAGTATATGCTTTAAGTTTAAACGTATGCAACAACTCATTAATCAAGCTAAGCCAAAAAACAGGTCAAGCGTATAAAATATATACACATTTGAAATGTGGCTTAAAGAAATAATTGATTAGGCATTTAAAGCTCAGCAATCGAGTGCACATACGTACATAAATATGTGTGTGTGTGTAAAATAGAAATATTTTTCGTGGGAGGCCGAGAGAATTTATAAATACTTCAATTAAAAAGCTTTTCGATTTGAATTGCCTAATTAATATCGATTTATTTTTGATATTTTCAATTAACACGAATTTATCAATTCACTCTTTGAACAATTCATATGCGAGAGTCTTCTGGCCCGGGGCTTATAATAATTTAGTGCTCGGAGTCAGGTCTTCAACAGCTTTAAATTGGACTCGCATCGATTTCACATGCCGAAGGCCCCTTTCATGTTTGATTCGCTCTCTGTGTGATTCATTTCATCTGTTTTTGTTTTACGAGCGCTTGCAGCGCCAATTGTGCGGCAAACATAATTCAATTAACTTTTTTTCAGTGGATGCACAGCAGGCACAAACACACAAACACACACATACCCTCGCACATTTTTTTCACTCGAAATTGTATACACTCCCACACACACACACACACACACATATGAACATTTTTT